ACAGGGCTTCACAGAAAAAGATGATATCACAAGAACTTCTAGTGAAGGGAGCAAGGAAAAAAGTTAATTAAAAACTAAGGAGCTTGGGGGGGCTAAATCAATCTTTGACATACTGGAGGGTACAAATCTCTTTCAGTGCATTTTGGGGCTAATTTTTATTCTAGAACATCCACCAAAATTCAACTCAAAATACAGAGAAGTAATATTTTATTTAGGAAGCTAATAAATCGTGTGTTAAACTTATTACTATAGCACATAGTGAACAGGCAAATTTTGTAGTGAAGCTAGTTTTTGTGAGTACACCACCTCACACAGAAACCAAGACACTTGGGAATTGTATTCTTATTTCTTTACCTTCTTCAGATACCAGATAAGATCAAAGTATTGATTTTTCCAAGATCTGTAGGGCCAAACACTGGAAGTTTCACTACAAAACACATGTTTTTGCTAACATGCTCCATAGTGATCTTTATTTTCTACATGCTGGAGACAACCTTTATCAAATATTTAAAACTAAAACTTCAGGGTCATTAACTGCAGTTAACATGAATTTGCCAACTCTTGTCTCCTTGTTCAAACAACACTCTGCACAAAATTGCTGTAACCTGAAATCTGAATCCCAATCTAGTTTATCTGGGTTGATGAATACACGTATTAGTCTATCATATCACAGCCAGACCACTGCATTTGTAGATGGCTATTTCCCTCAGACAAGGGAGAAAACTGTGTTCCATCTCTGAAGCAGTAAAGATAACAATGCCTCAGAGATGTGGAGCTGAGGCATGGAACAGAGGTTTCCAGAAGTTAAGGAGGATGTGGATGTGTTGCCAAGTAGGCAAAAAAATGCTCTAGCAGACACATCTGGAACTGAGGCTGAACAAAAACCTTCTGTCCAGGTTTGTTTTACTGTTACTGGGTCAAGTTTAAAATGTAAAAGCTCTAGAAGTACTGTGTTAATAGAACACTCTCCATTTTACTTCTGTTGAGAGGGTACCTTCTACTTAAAACCACAGAGGTCATTCTTATTGTGGCAAGCAATTCCAGTGGTAAGAAAACTGCAGGAAGGCAGTGAAGCTGTCAGCAGACTGGCTTTTCCCATTTTTAGGGTTGAACCACATGCATTTATGTGGTCAGTTAAAGCAATGAATATTTCAGATGAAATCCTAGAATACCTACTCAGCTGAGCCCACTACTAATTTAAAAAGTCATAACAGTCAAGGGGTAATTGTATATAATCAGGCCATGCAAGCAAACAAGGAGGCAGCTTATTTACAGAGACTATTCTGTTGGCAAGAAAGAAAGCATTACCAAAATTAAACTGATAGAGAACTTGATGCCAGTATTATACATAATTCAACAGCATTCCAATTACATTGCCCTTTCATGTTTTCCTGAGCTTGCAGTGAGAGATAGAAGAAGAGACTTTTCCATATCTGTGCCATGGCCTTTCTAGCCTCTTGCTCTCTTTGCCAGCCAGTATTTACAATACAAATTAGAAGCATCTATAAATATATTTCCTGCTTTTTTATTAAATAGCCCCAGTCTCCTGATGAAGAGCTAGTGTTTGCATCCAAGGGGGAAAACCAGAAGCTAATCTGGAAAATGCCTTGCTCAAAAGGCAGGGACTGCATGTCAGAACATGGGTTAAAACTAAAGCTTTTTTTCTTTGTTCATACTACTGCGTTGTAATTATCGCATTACAGCATTAATCTTTCCAGCCACAAATAGCTGATTTTATGTATACCCTTGCTATGTTAAAACTGCTCTTCCACAAGAGGAGGTTCTGTGCCTCACCCGATTTTCTCTGCAGCTGGAAGATCTGTAGCCCTGAGCAGAAAAATCCAGAACAGGAGTGCAAAACCCTGCAGGTGAGTGAGGCTGCTGCCACGAAGACATCATTTGCAATCCAATGGCTGCCACATCAGAGAATTTCAATTGCAAAAAAAAAATAAAATCTTAATGTAAATTTGCTTTTATTTTTAATTAGACACGTTGCTTTTATAGGACATTCTAAACAGATTAAAGCCATGGGAAAACAGACCCAGCTCACTTCTGCCTTTCAGAGCCCCTTCAAGCCTACACATTTAAGTAGGGTCAAACAGCTCCATGAGAGCCCAAAGAAGTTGGGGGAGAGGACAGAGGCTCCTCCCAGCAGGCACCTAAAGCCACTGTGCTATTTCTGTCTCAGAACCCTGAAGTACTTTCCCCGAGAGACCTGAACATCTGACCCTTGCCTAAGAATATCTTCCTCTGTGAGAAGGGCAAGAAAAAGAGGCAGCCAGGCTGGGGAGAAGAAAGAAGGGGAAGCTGCAGGTGAAGGGAACAGCAGCCACACAGGGAGCAGGGGAAAAGGGACAACTAACTAGTGTTTCACAAAAGACAAAGAATTAAAAGGACAAAGATAAAATTGTTTCCCAGGGCAGATGAAGCTGGCACAATGCTGCAGGGCTCTGTGCTAAAATCACCCTGCAGGAGCAGAGCAGGGCCATGGCTGGCAGCAGTGACACAAGTGGCAGCAGCAGCTCCTGCCATGCACCACGGTGGCTCCTGCCAGATGTCTGGTGGCCTTAAAGTGTAGAGAACGCAGGGGTTTTAGTAGTGAGAACTCAGGGGGTATCAAACAAGAGCAAGTTTCTTCTTGCACTGCCAGCAGAGGTAAAGAAGTTGCTATCTGTCATTCTGTTGGGCTTCAAGGTCCTGCAGCTGCAGAGCCCTCTCAGCTTTCTGCCAGCAGGCTATCTCCTCCCAGCCTCCAGGTACAGTCCCACTGGGACCTGGGGGAACGTCACCCAAGAAAAGCCCCAAAAACCTGGCCCACCATTTCCACAAAGGGGAGTCCTGGCACTGCAGGGGATGCAGAAGGAGGAAAAGAAGTTTCAGGACTTCTGTAAGGATACACAGTGATGGCTGAATAGGATGCACTGCACAGCAGCAGGGCCTGTGTAATCACAGTGATGTATTCAAGGCAAGCACTGCTCACATGTGCAGGGCTGATTGCAAGGACCCCATTGTACTATTACATCGCATTAAAGGGAGAAAAACCCAAACAAACACATTGTATTGGAAAAAAATTAAAAGATACTGGCTTGAACAGAGTTTCATGGGAAAAATGGAGCAAGAGGCTAATAGTTTGATAGTCCTGGCAGCAGCATGGGTGTGGGCTTACACAAGTCCAGGTCTTTGGATCACAATCATCACAATGTAGAGCCACTACACGTATGACAGGAACTGAAACCTTTTCTGTCTCATATTCAACCAATTCCAGATGCCAAGATGGGGTTCTGACTGTCAATGGCAAGGCAAGGCCAGAGGATGTTATTTTCCTCTCTGAATAGTACCTCCAGGGCTATTAGTAAGTTGAACAGGTACTACCTCAAAAACACCACCTGTCTTGGGGCCTTTCACTGACCAGAAAGAATGCAGACTTGAGAAAGGGCTTTCCATCATGAAAAGGAAGGAAGGGAGTGTACTGCTATTTAACTGGTTCTTGTTCTTCCACACAGGAAAGCTGATCCTGGAGGATACAAACTGAATAAACAAGACCTTAGCCTGCAGGCCTTGAGCAGCAATCCTGCACACTTCCAGTTTAAAACTCTTTGATAAGGGAAAGAAGTAATGGGTGCAGAGCCATAGACTGGGGGTTGGGTCCATTTTGATTGCTTCTCCTGTAGCTGCTCCAGCTTGACCAGTTCTGAAAGATCATATATATTTCCCATACACAAGATGGAACACAATTACTTCTTCAGCCACAGCTTAATTATCAACAGTAGTACCTGATACTCCTCAAGTACTGAAATTACAAATGAAAAGCAAGCCAATATTATACACTTGTGATGGCAGAGGACACATTCATGTCTCTGTGACCAGTGGGACAATCAGTCCCCCAAAACTAGGATACATAGCATGCACTGAGTGCACAGCTATTAATATTTCTGATAATCAAAGTTACCTAATCTATTTTAGCACATTTCACTCTGATGTGACATACCAAACAATGCCAACATCTTGCCCACTGTCTCCAGTAAGAACAATTTTAAGTTTCCTCAGACATATGTTGTGTATACTAATGTGTTTGTATCAAGGTGACATTCATTAAAAAAAGAGAGACTGTGCTGAATCACACCTCCCTTTCGTTTAAGGTTAAGAGAGAATATTGTGCATTTGATAACTTATCCCTTTAAACTTGTTTCCCTTCATGGGGTTTGGTTTTGGTGTTTATTTTCTTCCCTGAGAAGCAATATTAAAGGTAACAGAGACTTTAGTGCCTTCAAGGAAGAAAACAACTTCTCAAACTTCTGGACATATTTTTCCAACCATTCTAATAATGTACTGAGGGAGTTAGGACTGCCTTTCCAAAGAACAGGGCTTTAACCTACAGGAAGACTTTTAAGAATATTTGCATTCACTGCTGTTCAGGTTTCTGGACTAGTGACATGGGAAACGTCTATTTCTCTCCCCTTACCTTGGCAAACAGGCAAATACAGAGTATGCTCTTGCTGTATGTTGAGATACCACAGTAATTCCCTGTTGCTCTTTTTAAGGTGCAAAGAAAAGCCAAAGACATACACATTAATTGCCTAGTGCAAACCTTCCAATACAAACAAACACACACACAAAAAAAAAAATGCATGCACACCTCCTGAAGACTATACTACTTACATTTCCCAGGCACGCGCAATCTGCTGGTCACATGAAGACTACACGCACAGAGCTGGAAGGCACCACATCCCTGTCTATTTTACAGCATTCTTCAGAAAAAAATGCATGTCTTATCATGCTCAGGAAAGTGAAAGCCAGTCTAAAAGCATATACCAAGTTACTCTGGCTTTTTCTACAAATAGGAAGCAGAAAACCTCTCCATCCCATTTTTATGGAGTAAAAGCAAATAAAGGTGCCTAAGGAGCAGCTTTAACTAGTCTTTCAGGCAATTTACAGGGATCTGTAGTCGGCACCAGCCCTTAAAAGACGCGATTAATTGTCATAGCAACCAGGGCATGGAACCACACGCACTTGGGCTGGGATACAGGGACAGCAGTGTGCCCTCTTACCCACACACGCATCTCAAAAGGGTAACGGGCTCCTCGAGGGGCTGCATTGTCTGGGCACAGTTAATCCTCTATAATACACCCTCTTAACCAGGCATGGGGGACTCTCCCCTTACTCCCCCTTCCTTTACAGAAAATATTGAAACCATAGTGCTGCTGTGGCTGTGGAGGGAGGCTGCATGTCGGCGGCAGAAAGGAGAGTTGGACAGGCAAAGGAAACAAAACTGGGGATTATCAAGTACTTTGAGGTCCAGCTAGGAATTCATCTTAAGAACAGACATACCACTTTTTCCTGCATTGATGATGTATTTTCTTTACTCATACCATAAGTCTTTTGTCTTCTTTCCCTCTTTCAGGACATCACCATCACCGAGTTTGTAAAAACAGCCAATGTGGTTGTACCACAGCACACCTGCAAGCTAGTTTATTGTCTATCTCTGCCTGCCTAAGATCAGAGCCATGGCCATCAGGAGACACCAAAACAGCAAGAAGCAGGTCCTTCCCTACATGATAATTTATTTTTATGACACAGAAGCATACTTGAACACAGACAGACAAAGTGAGTTTTTGTTGTGTTGCATTTCTCTACTCCCAAGAAATGGGATTCAAACACTGGCAGAATTTACCTGAAAGCTTCTTCCCTAGCTTCCTGCACACTCATTTTGGTATCAAAACACAAATCACTGTATAATGTGCTATAGCAAGGTTGCTGGGTTTGGTGGTATTTCTTTGTGTGGTTTTGCTTTTTGGAGATTTGGGGGTTTTTTTCCTGGGAGTGAAAAGGGTGAAGTGTTGTTATTTTGTTTTCTTTAAAAATCAACAGAGCCTGTATTCCTACTAATAGACATCTTCCCAGTCTGAAGATGATCTCTCCCTTTTCCTCCTTACCTGTGGTTTTGGTGCTCTCAATACAAAAAAAGCTGTGCTTCCTACAGGAGAGAAGAAGTTGTTGTGAACTGATACATTGGAACTGTGCAGCACCTCTATACAACAGTACTGCAAGTGAAAATACAACAGCTAGGAGGATACAGGATCAATTTGGGAAGCAGGACTAACAGAGAAATGCTTCCAGAAAGCAATCTATGTCAGTACAATCTCCTGACCATTCCTAAGGTGGCCAGATTGGTGGGTATTTTGCTCTTAAAGAATTATTTTGGTAACTGAAGTTACAGGATTGCAGATCAGAGGCACAGTTTTGGGAAAGCTTGTGCATGGCTGCTGGCTCCAGAAAGAAAGAGGTCAGGAAATGGCAATAAGCCTCCAAGATCACATCAGCCAGATAAAAACAGCAATTCACACTGGACTATAGGAGAATACTATAGTACATCACATGCTGTCATGGAAAGGGAGATAATCCAGTTCACTGGCCACCAATTTTGGCCACCGCTGATTGGGCTATTTTTCTAGTCAGCCACTGCAAAGAAGTTACTGCACACCTTGGCAGGGAGGCAGAAGTGAGTCACAAAGCACACAGGAGCACTGCTGCACACCAGATATAATGATTTTAGACCTGCTGAACATGCGCCTGCTCTTTTATTTACTGTGGAAAAGAATCTGTTTCATGGATAAGGCTCCCCTTCCATTTTCTATCAACAGGGAAACACAGAGTATGCTTACACTAAGGTTTTCACAAATGCCTATCGTCACTGAACTCAGGCTTGCCTAAACTAAATAAATTTAACTTGTAACAAAAAAGACTACTGTCAATTTAGGCCTGCATCACACCTCCAAGAAGAAGTACTTACAGGTGTAACAGCACACATTTTTCCACCACCCCCACTCACAATCACACTACCTGGTATCTGGCAACTTTCTTTTCCCTCTCTGCATATACTCACACTTCTTCCCCCCTACCTGAGTGAGGAATTGGCTACAGCTGATTGTTTACCAGCTGTCAATAGCCAACAGGTCTCACATGTGTTCATTTCAACAGGAACATCATACTAAGGTTTGGAACAAGAAGACAGGAGGAAGCTAAGGACTTTGGCAGTAAGTAGTCAGGTCAGGCATGGTATTACAATACAGATGAGCCAAATAAAAAGCTTGAGACCATAGAAAGATATACTTTGCCTTCCTTCTTTCCAGTTTCTTTTACCTCCCATCTCTGTTTTCCTCACCTCCTCTGCCTTTACTTCTCTCTGCTCCTTGCTCACAGCCTCCTTCCTTTCATCATCAGTCCAGGCACTAGTTTAATCAAAAGTTAGCTAAAAACCCATCTACGACAGAGGCTTTTTTCAGCTGGGTTAATGATCTGTGATTTTAGTTATCTGCCTGTGATGGAAACCAAACCTGGCTTAGCAGAAGTAGAAGGAGTAATTTGGCCAGGAGCAGGGAAGAGACAGAAGTGCAACCTCCTTTTGGCAGTTCATGATATTCTGTTAAGAACAAATTCATTTCTCAGCCTTAGCTCATGTTCATCTTACCCAGCTCTGTAAAATGACTGAGAAGTTGAATCTTCACATGAGGTAACTTGTGATCTTCTCTTAATTATTTCTAGGTATCAATGAAGGAATGATGGATTTGGAAATGGTTTCTTCCCTCCACCACTGCTTCTATATTTTTTTAATCAGTCTCCTATTAAACCAAATCAATATGTATGCATGTGCATTATTCATATAATGCACATATTCACATTGTAAGTATCTCAAATAATAGTCAAGATGCAAATCTCAGAAATTATTACAAGCTAGTCTCTAGCACATTCTTAGCTCTGTCCCTTTTGTTAGCAGAGTTTCACACACAACGTGATGAGCTTCAGCCAGCATCAGCTTTTCACCAAATGATTGCTCTGTGCTGCCATGCATGTCTCCAATGAAATCAGTGTAACTTGTCTTTGGAGGCAGGAAAAAGGGTTAGCTCACTAGCACACTTTCTAAGCTCTGTGATGTCACCTTTTCTATCTGGGTAACATGGCTTGTGGGACCATCTCTAGTGTCAGGAGAATTTCAACTGCCCCAGACTCCACTATGTACCAGCCTCAGAGTCCATGTGTGTGGAGCCACATGATAAAGTACACTGGAGATAAGATCCATCTGGAAACACAAACCAACAATGGCAGTAACTTTTCCCCATTTTTATCCCATTTTTATCCATCTGAATCAAACCACCAACCTGTTTTTCAATGGTACCTTGCAAACAGTTCCATCAGAAAAACAAAGGGAGAAGAAGCTGGGCAGGGTCAAGAATAAGAACAAGAAGGTAGAGTGGAGCAAGGAGGTCTTCTGCCATTCATGAAGTGCCTCATTCTGCAGCCCCAAATTCACCTGACTCTGCTTTCAGTCCCAGGCCACTTCAGGTGCTCTTGGGAAACCTCTTATATTTTGAGAGAATGTACCTGAGGAAAGTTAGATGCTTTGGAAAAGCTATCTGTTCCTCATCTCCCAATGCCTTCATGTATTGCACACATTAATCATTCTGTTCCTTGGCAAAGTTTGCCCATAAAGTTTCAGAGAAGCATTAGAGTAACTGTAAACCAGATGTTTCTGAGTACTAGGCTCTGTTTTATAGCACTATGTAGCATTTCACAAGCATTAACTAATCAACAACTCTTCCAGGTAGTTAAGTTTAATTGTCCCCATTTTACAGGTGCTGAACCAGACCCAGCGAGGTTGAGAGATTCACCCAGGGCCAAAAAAACCCAATTGGTGTCTAATTCTGGACTGTAAATCAGAAACTACTATATGTAACTTCTCTCCAAGACCTTTAAAACACAGTATTTCCCCTCATCTGCTGCTGCAATACAGCTTCTCCTGAAAACAAAACAGGCAAAAGCCTACCCCTCCCTGTCCTGCACTGCACACATTGGTAAAGCTGCATTTTGTCCATCAGCTGTCCTGTAACTTTTAGTCTTGCCCAGTCAGGATGACACAAATTGCCCTGCTTTGGCTTTGGTCCCAAACCCCACAGCTGGGTCAGGCAGACAGTATTCACGGGGCAACTCACCACTTTTCTGACTCTGATGCCTACTTCTGCATCATACTTATATATGATATTTTGGGGGGGTGGTTTTTTTCCCATTTATCACCTGGTTGATCCTTTTGTGCATGCTGTATTTCGTCTATCAGGCCTGAGGTTTTAATGCCCAGTAACTGCAGCGGTGCACAAGCGGCAGCTACAGCAGCAACAGTTAAATACAAGCCAAAAACTGGTCAGATAAGAAGCATACTCAGTGAATATAGCAACTTTTACTGGAAAATAAGAAAGAAAGACTGTCCAGAGGAGAGTGAATTGTACAGAGTTTCACCTTACAGACCACTGGATGAAACGTTATCTCTGTGCATATGCAGCTGCTGGAGATTTCTCTCCACATAAATTTCTCCACATAAATGTCTGGTGAGCTGCTTAGAATTGCGTTTAAAGGCTGGGCTGAGACCAAACAGTCTCTGCAATTCTCTTCCTGAGAGTTACAGAATATTTCTGGTCTGCCCAGAAGAAGGAAGGACATTATCCCAAAACACCACTGGAGCTGTGATGGGAATAGAAATGTCAGTGTTAGGACTGTCTGAAGACTTGTCTCTCCCTGCCATCAATGCTGACTACCAGTCTTGAATTGCAGCAGAGGCAGAAGTGATCAAACAGCTTTCTAACGCCATATTTCTTCTGGACCCCACTTCTTTTACTTCCCACCATGAGCTTTCAACAGCTCAAGCTCTGGAAGCAAGTGAATGAGCTGCACATCAGTTGCCCATTTCAGCTGGTCTTTGCAACTGCTCCTCAGCCAAACACTGCTGCTTCTGAAAGATAAATGCACGCATGGCCGCTGCTCAAAGGAAAACATGCAAATACAGCACATTTGGCAGGCAACTTAGGAGAAGTTACATTTGTACCTTTGTTCCCTCTCCCACTTTGGGCCTGCCACACAGAACAGCAGCCAAAATGCATCTCAAAGATTAGGTCTGGTCTCAGAGCCCTAGTTTTGCACACCTAAGTTACTGCTAGACCCAATGATTGGATCATGACTCATTTGAAGCTTGATACTTGGCATTTTGTCCAAACAAGTGCCCAGATAAATGGAAAAAATAATCATTAAAGGACAAAGAAAAAAGACAAATTTAAAATTGTTGGAGTGCATTCTTTCACAATAAATGGCAGCTAAATGCTCTTGAGTGTAACAGTGTTCTGGATGTTAGTAAGAACATTCATAAATGAGGAAAGAAATTGGTATTGATTCTGTGGGCTCATATCTCAATACATCTATAGGTTGTAATGTAGGGATAAATCTAATAAATTAATCTAGCTGAGTAATAATAAGTTCCATTAACACAGTAATGCATACCAAATCAATATTTATGGACAATTTCAGACATCAAATTTAACAGAAATTCTTCTACAAGTTAGAATGAGCTAGAATTTATTTATTTATAATGGGAAGTTGATTTTAGGTAACTAAAAGATATCACATGCTTACACACAGTTACAGACAGAATTTTTCAAGTGAATAACAAGGGAATTACTTGGTTCTTAAACTCAAGAAACCTCTCTAGAGCAGGACCAGCTCAGAACCGCAGAGATTTTGCTTGGTTAACACAAATCCAATGTAACTATTTCATTTCTGGTAACCCTTCAACCATTATCATGGCACTGCATGTTACCTTGACCACTCTGCCTCAGTCCTTGAGGGCATTTCTGCTATTGCACAGTTGTTGTGCTATCACCATTATGTTTAAATGATAGAACACATGGAATTTTCCTTTTCAGTGCCTGTAAGAGGTGCCTTCATACATGCATGATAACCATCACATCACCTTGCCCCTGTTCTTCTAGATTAAATCCTCCAAATGTTCTGGAATCTACTGAATGTCATTGAAGACATGATTCCCCCACCACAGAATGGACCCAAAAAGAAACTCCTTAAGTACACTGCCAAAAATTGCTGGTGAGCACGAGCAAAAAGCAGCTTTGGCAGAAGAATGTGAGGAGGCAGCAATGGAACAAGGTCTCCAGGGCTACCCACAGGTGCTGTCTGCTCTGGGACAAGTTGGACAGCATCTCTGCAAATGCTGAAAGTCCTTTTACTACAGTGCCCCACTCAGCACATCAGGCACCTGACAG